AGCGAGCAGGTTCGAAGTGTCGGGCTACCCCACCATCAAGATCCTGAAAAATGGGGAACCTGTGGATTACGACGGAGACAGGACAGAGAAGGGTAGGGACATGTAATTCATTTAAGCATCGTCACGGCATTTCAAACTGAAACTGACTTCCTTTTTGGAAAGAATTGGCAGTAATGTGTGGAATGCGTGTTTGTTGCAGCTATCGTGGCCCGGATAAAAGAGGTGGCACAGCCGGATTGGAAGCCCCCTCCCGAGGCCACGCTGGTGCTGACCAAGGACAACTTTGATGAGACTGTTAACAATGCAGACATCATCCTTGTGGAGTTCTACGCTCCATGGTCAGTCAGCAGACTGTCTGTTCTAAAATACAGATAGAAATTACACACAGACATCCATTGGAGTGATAGTGGTAGCTTTTTAATAGCAGCTGTTAAGACTAATAAAAGCATTCCTCATTATTTGCCTGTTATCTAACTAACCTTCAGGTGTGGGCACTGCAAGCGTTTGGCTCCAGAGTATGAGAAGGCAGCCAAGGAGTTGAGCCAGCGCACTCCTCCCATCCCTCTGGCCAAGGTGGACGCCACTGTGGAGAACGAGGTCGCCACACGTTTCGGAGTCACAGGCTATCCCACCCTCAAGATCTTCAGGAAAGGCAAAGTGTTTGACTACAACGGACCCAGAGAGCAGCATGGTACGTCACTTACCGTGTAATTTCATTTATATACTCCTACACAAATTGTTCAAGTCTATCCTCGCTGTTTTCCATGTATGCAAAGGTTTGTATTTATGGAGGCTTGTGTGCAAATTTCACTTCTTTCACTTTCTCTTTCCCGCTAGGTATTGTGGAGTACATGGGCGAGCAGGCCGGGCCTCCCTCCAAGCAGGTCCAGGCAGTGAAACAGGTGCAGGAGCTAATCAAAGATGGGGACGATGCTGTCATAGTCGGCGTGTTCTCCGATGAACAGGACGCAACCTATGAGATCTACATCGAGGCCTGTAAGTACCATGAGCTGGACATGTGTTCAGAGCCAATAATGTCGCCACTGAATGTGCGGAGTGACCCTAAACTGAAGAACGCAGTTATTTTTCACTTTATGCTTTTGTGTGCTGTATAAAGGGAGCTTGGTTGGAGATCAGTGTCAGAGTTTTAATATCTCTGCGTGGTGAGAGCAGAGACTGCCTTAAACCCTTTCTTGTTGTTCTTCAAACTCTCATTGCTCTCGGTCTCTCTCTTTCTGTCTGAAAAAGGTAATGCACTGAGGGAAGACTTCACCTTCCGTCACACCTTCAGCTCTGAAGTGTCCAAACTACTCAAAGCTTCACCTGGTCAGATTGTCATCGTTCACCCTGAAAAGTTCCGCTCCAAGTATGAGCCAGCATCACATACATTTGCAGTAAAGGTAGGAAGGCTGTTTGATCATTTTCAGTGGTGACTGGTTCAGTTGTGATTTGAATTTTCTTCACAGGGTATGAAACTCTGAAACATGCATGACTGTGCTTTCTTTCAGTTCTAGTATCGGTTTAAAAATAGACTAGATTAGCAATAAGGAGTTTCTGCAGCACTGCTGCATAATCCACCTCTAAAAAGAGTGTTTTCTGAATTCTTTGTAAAAAGTGACTGTTGAACTCGAGACAAATTAATGTATTTATCACATAGGACTCTACATCGGTGTCAGAAGTGCAGGAGTTCTTCAAAAAGCATGTGATTCCTCTGGTGGGCCACAGGAAACCAAGCAATGATGCCAAGCGCTACACCAAAAGACCCCTAGTGGTTGTGTACTATGGAATTGACTTCAGCTTTGACTACAGGAAAAGTGAGTTTCTCATATTTTGCTTGATAGGTTTGACCTGAGATCTTGCCTGTGGAATCGACACCAGCAACTACTGAACAATTTACACAACCTGACCTAACAAACCTCTTCTCTTGTTTGTCTTTCATTATTTAGATACGCAGTTCTGGCGGTCCAAGGTACTCGACGTAGCTAAGGACTTCCCAGAGTACACGTTTGCCATCGCCGATGAGGAGGACTACGCAGAAGAGCTGAAGAGCTTGGGCCTGAGCGAGAGTGGAGAGGAAGTGAATGTGGGAATTCTGGCAGAAGGAGGCAAAAAGTTTGCCATGGAGCCAGAGGAGGTTGACTCTGATGTGTTGAGCGACTTTGTTAAGGCTTTCAAGAAAGGTGAGGTTTTTTTAATTTTTTTTTGTTTGTCTGATTAACAATGTGAGGCACATAGTTTCCTTTAGTAACGTGCAAGTTTCACTTCTGAAAATGTCACATTAATTATATAATTTCCAGGTCTGGAAAAAATATAATTTTGCATAGTTCATAGTTGAATATTCCAGCATGGGATGGCAGCACTTTGTAACTCTAAAATTTGATTAGCTGCACTAATCTTGCCTGTATACGGTGCATAAATAAACAGCAGCTCCAGTTCTAACACGTCACACTGGAAGTCAATTCACACTTCTGAATTTCTCTCTCCTGTCTTCAGGAAAGCTCAAACCCATCATCAAGTCCCAGCCCGTGCCAAAGAACAACAAAGGACCGGTTAAGGTTGTGGTAGGAAAGACCTTTGACGAGATCGTCATGGACACCCAGAAGGATGTCCTGATTGAGTTTTACGCTCCCTGGTGCGGCCACTGTAAGAAGATGGAGCCCGATTATTTGGCTCTGGGCAAAAGGTACAAGGGAGAGAAGAACCTGGTGATCGCCAAGATGGACGCCACAGCTAACGACGTGCCAAATGAAAGCTACAAAGTGGAAGGCTTCCCCACGATATACTTTGCCCCGAGCAACAGCAAGCAGAGCCCCGTCAAATTAGAAGGTGGAGACAGAACAGTGGAGGGGCTGAGCAAGTTCTTGGAAAAGCACGCCACAAAGCTATCACAGAACAGAGACGAACTTTGAGAATGTCTCTCGACAAGTAGCTAAGAACTCTTACAGGACGCTGATGTGGGGAGGGGGGGCCTCTGGGAAGGTGAAGGGAACGCAGTGGAGTTAAACGGTGTTACTGAGTTGCTGTGATGATTACAATGTTAAATCATCATTTTAGTTTCTATTCATTCCAAGAGATTTCTTTCTTCTGTTTCTAAAAGCATGTAAGCACTGTTAAAGTCTTTTTAAATAAAATACAAAAATGATGGCGGCTTTGTGGGCCAGCACTTAAATGTGACTCTTTTGTTCCAGTCAGTCAATACAAGCTCGAAGATGTGTTGCAAAGGTGTGAGGTGACATTGCACACATTTCAGAATACAAGTGTTTTAGAAATTCAAGTGTTTTTAATCACATTTAAGAACAATTTAAACATTAGTAATACAAATGGCTCTATGGCCAGTCGATGAATCAAGTACCTAACATGTTAAATTGATATTTTGAATTGATTTGAAAAAAAGTCTGGCAGGAGAGAGATGCCCCTGTAGCAGCATCTGAAATATCTTGAACTCTATGGATAAAAACCTACAATCAGCCTTACAACCTATTTTTGAACATTACAAACCACATGAACAAACCTGGCCCGGCAATACTGTGGGAAAGTGCATCATGTACTGAAATCATATCTTCACATGCTCTACGTACACATGAGCAGGCACTATGACTAGCTTTCACATACTGTCTAAAGGAAATGTTAAAGTTTCTTCATTGAGGAAAAAACAAATCTCTTTAAAAAATCTGAATTTAAGAATCTGATCTAGCATGAATGCTGGAGGCAGTGGCGTTAAGACTGCTGCTTCCTTCACACAAAGGCACTTGAGAATACTGGCACTGAATGAGTTGGTTCTTGAGATGTAGCTGAAAGGTGGCGAGGTCATTATGAAAACTCTTGTGTGAACCGCAGGTGGAACTCCGAGATCTTGTGCAGCACAACCTTCAGCTTCTCAGTGGGAGGCAAGATGGTCATTCTGGACAGAGGAAGACAGGAGCAGGATGTGGGTTAACACTGCCACAGGTGTAGTTAAACCAGAGTCTATTAAACTTAGAATGAGCTAATTTTAGGACAAAAAGTCCAGTTAAGCTGTACTTACCTGAAGTGGAAGGTTCCCTCTCTCTGACCAAAGCCACTTCCTGGCACCAGGCAGATACCCTCCTCTTCCAGCAGCTTCATGCAGTAGAACATGTCTGGGACCTGGCCTTCCTCCTGTGGATGGACACATGCAAGCATTTGAAGTGATCAGATCCACGCAGACGACTAAAATCAGGATGATGCTCAACAGTGAGATAAGGTGTGTGTGTGTGTGTAGTGCAGACCTTTGCCTTGTCGATGGCCTTCTGAGGTAGACTGATGCGGGGGAAAGTGTACATGGCCCCCTGCACCGGGTTACAGGTGATACCGGGTACTTTGTTGAAGATCTGCTCCGTGAGTCTGGCCTTCTCTGCTAAATCTGCTAACACCGCTGTCCGCTCCTGAGGAGGAAGAAAAAGTTAAAGCTGTCAGGGCATTCAGGTTCTCTCAAAGACAAGAACTTATGGTGCGTTCACATGCTCCACATTAACTCGTAAAGTCAACGTTTATCACCAGATGGTTGCCAACAGCCAACAGCCAACGAGTTTTCAGTATGGCCTGTGACATGCTGGTAATAATATTATTTTGTCTGGCTTCCATTATTTACAGTCTGCAGTGGAGAACCAAATACCTGATTCTTTTCCAACTTCAATGACTGAGGATAAATGGGGCGGGCCTTCTCGCTCTGGTTTAGATGGGGACTTCAGAGGAATCCAACCGCTGAACCGAACCCTTTATTTGTTAAGTCATTTGGCCTCCTTGTGGCCTATGGAGGCATGACAACAAGCAGCCTGCCAAGCTTAGCCACTATAAGTGTCACTCACTGCTGAGCAAAGTGCTTTTATATCCTTGTTCCAACACGTAAACACACGCCCTAAAGGAAAGGAGTAGTACATCTTTGCCAAGTACAATACAAGGTGACTTCTGTTAAGTTGACTGTTTACAAAGCCAGGTGTGCTGGTTGGGACAGACTAATGAAATCTTTTGCCGGACCAGTTATGCAACTAGATGCCGAAACATGCAGCCATGCACTACAACACTCATATTACCCATACACACTCTAATGATTATTGACCTAATGGCTTCCTTGACCACACAATGCTTCCACTTAACTGCAGGTCAGATGGACACAGGATTTTGAAAGCATGCATAAAACATGTGATCCTCTTTACAAAGTTCAAACCTCTTTTCTCCTCCTTTGAAGAGGTGGCATAAAACATCTCTAAATCATACATTATGTTCTGGCAGAAACAACGAAACATGTGTAATAGCATTTTTCAAAACATTGCACAATTCAAAAGCCGATTAATCTGCTGTGTGAGCAACTTCAACACACTCATATGTGTGTGGATTATATTGCAGGGCGTTTACATAAGTAAATTGTGTTTGCATACACTCAGAGCATTGCCAGGATGTGCGATAGCTGGTGTGCTTTGTGTTTTTTTTTGTGGGGGGGGGCAGACCTTCATAAATGTGGTATAGGAGGGCTCGTCGGGCTGCGGAGGGTTGACCACCAGGTCCAAAAGAGCCTGTCCGGGGACGGGGGGACACAGACGCACCGACACCAGTTTGGTGAGTTGTGCCTTCACCTCAGGGTCCATGTTAATGATCTCCATGTAGCCGCCACGGAATCCACACCTGACAAAAGCAAACAGAGGAAAAGAGTAAGTTAAACACAAGTATACTCTTAGTACAGGTGATGTCCACGTCAGCAACGGTAGCTTAGCTTGTACAAGTCCTGTATGTGTGCCTGTCTAGCTACTCACTCTCCCATGTAGCATTTGGAGGTAGAGTGGAAGGATGCCATCTCCACTGTGCTGGAGTACTCTGGTCCCATCTCAAACAACACCTTCTTAAAGGAGTGAAACTTACAGCCCTCTGCATAGACATTATCCTGGTAGACCTAAAATGGGAAAACAGCTTTAGTAGTATACACAAAGCCTTAGTAAAACCCCATCATTATCCATTGCAATTGTAGAAGAAAAATCTGTACACAAAAGAATGACAAAAGAGCTGAGTGACAAAGGTGTGTTCATAAAGAAAATAACAGCAACTTAACTGTAACTTCTGCACATGTAATGAATTAAGGCGAGCATATTAGCAGAAATGTCTATGTTAATTTGAATGTATGTAGTCATCAAGCTGGATGAAAAATGATTGTCTATACATCAACCTATATGATTATTTATGAGGCTGTAATTAATGGTGGTGCTGTATTTGACAGCATTATATTGAGAGATGTTTCTAATGTTTTGCCAACCACTGTTTAGTGGTTACTGTGGTTAGCAATTGTGGTTACATTCCAAGTAGTGATGTAAAAGAAACACAAAACACCTGATTGGACATTATTAGTTTTGTTTTTTTAAGACAGAGGAAACTGGTAGTGAAAAATGTCTGAATTGAGGAAATAACATCGGTGTATTACTTCATCAGCCATGAGGAAGAGATGCTCCTCTTTAGCAAATCGGATCACATCTTCAATGCACTGTCTGCTCTGGACCTGACCTATCACACAGGACAACCAGAGTATGATGTTGTAAATCCGGTGTGCACACACACGGCGACAAAAAATGACAAAACTGTCAGAAGCTACGACCGACATACCGGTGGGGTTTCCAGGGTTGATGATGCAGAGGACACGGGGGTTGCAGTGCTGCCTGGCTGCATTGAGGGATCTCCTGAGCTCTGCAACATCCAGACTCCAACACTTGTCCTCGTCCAGGTAGTAGCTGACCTGCACGGCACCCAGGTCTGCCAGGGCCGCCGAGTAGAGAGGGTACTGGGGGATGGAGATCATCACTCCTGTGCGATCACGACCCTCGCCACACACCAGCAACTTCAGCATAGTCTGGGAGGTGGGAGGAGGGAGAGGGAGGAGAAAGGAAAGGAGGGAGAGCAGAAGAAAGAATGAGAGTTGAGAGGGTAGGAGTAATAAAACAATATTTAGAAGAATGTAATAAGGAAGGTAGGTGTACAACCAGTTAAGTCTGATTATTTGGCACCAGATAGTTTTTTTTATGCCCATAAACCACAAAACTAACTGTGATTGAAATGGAGAAGAGTGATAGTTAATGGACGGCAGTGTGGCGCCATACAGAGGCTGCTCATGTGATGGCTGTAAGTGAAGTCGGCTAAACCACTTTAGAATCAGATGGTGATACAACCTCCATTACTGCCGTCCTCTGGGATTGACTCTTTGGCTAACAGTGCTGTGAGAAGCCCAGCAGGAGAGATGCTGTGTGGTGCACTTTATAGTGATTTTATACACTTTTACTTTCTCTGACTGTTCAGAAATCTGATGTTTTCACATCACAGATGACAAAGAAAGGCAGTAAAACGTGAGGTAGGCTACAACATGAGACTCACGTAGCTGCATTTCCACAGCAAGGACTGCTGATATAGGAGTTTAGTGTGGCGCTAAACTGAAGAGAAAAAGGAAACAAATAGTCAAATCTTTATATTTAACAGCCAATTTTGAGTTGAGTACAGCCCTATTCAAACACTCCTACATGGTGGGCCAGAAATGTCAGTTTAATCTCTCCTGGTACAGTAGTTGAATATATCTTAAGGTTATTCAGTAGCCTGATTTAGTTGCATAAAACAGGAGAAATCTGTATCGACAGTGTCAAAGGTCTGTGGGTGGTGTAAAGTCACTGATGTGCAAAGTACGGCTGAGTGTATAATTAACAGAAGTTGAATAAAGAACTGATTCATAGGCAACATGTCAACTTGTGGCCCAGATTTAAGTATGTCAGCACTTTTCTGGAGAGGAGACGATACAAAGTGTAACCCATACCACAATGGCATCACTGGCCCCGGTGGAGAGGTAGATGTTGTCAGGGTTTGAGGAGATTCCACCATCTCTCTTCTCAATGTAGCGTGCCACATCCTGACGGACGCACTCAATGCCCTGGCTCGCGCTGTAGGCCCCTTGAAATGAAAATGAACTTTGATTCAGACAGAACATGCTACATTGATTAGTTGATGCCCTGTTTAAATAGTGTACAGGCTGTCCACATAAACTATTAATGAGTAGGCAAATGGAAGGGTTGTTATTGACGTGCGTTGTTGGAAGGAGGAGGTGTAAATGTGGTTGGTGGACTGAGGGGGAGTTGTCTAACCTATACTGTGGCCCCCGCAGGCCTGGAGAATACGCCTCGCCCTTTTCTTGGCGTCCTCTGGAAACTTGTTGTCTTCTAGGAGTTCAGGGTAAGAACACAGAGCCAAGACCTGAGAGAGGAGGAGAAAACAAACGCAACAACACTAACATTAACAAAAATCCTGACACATTCAGTGTGCAGGAATGTAGAAAGTCCAGTTTCTGTAACTATAACGAGTGTTACCTGCTTTTTAAACACAAGCAAATACCATGAGGCAAGACTTGGTCCTACCTGTCTGAGAAATGTGATTGGTTTCTGACCCATAGCATGGGCGTCTCCTATGTTAGCCTTTATGACTTCTGCGAAAGGTTTCTTGACCCCCTGGGGACATAAAGGCAGAGAAGTGTGAGGTCAGTCTCTGAGCATAAAGTAACAAACAGGTGTGGGAGGTGTAGAAAATGCTGAGACAGTGTGACAGCTCTTCAACAAACGGGGTATGTCTGAACATGTAGTAAGAAGTAAGTGGGAAGGACACACACAAGTCAAGATACTTCAAGACTTATCTTTCTACAGAGAACACAGAGGGTAGAGTAACTGGAGGGTAAGAACCCCTAGTTTATCTCTACAGAGAGATAAGTAACGTCTTTTTTCCTTCTTTCCTCTCCCTTTCCTTTGCATTAATGAAGCTTCAAATTGACTCTCAAAAGAGAGCGAAATCAGAGATAGACTGCATCCCAATCGATCTGTGCAATCTGTGTCATTACCATCCGATGGCTGCGCATCTAAATCAAACCGGAGACACTTGTATTCATCTCACACATGCATCTTCTCTCATTAGCAGCCTTTTGTTTTACAAAGACCCTGGCACAGAGTCAGTGGAGCAGGACGTGCTGGCCGGGGCTCACAGAGAAACAAACCCTTCTGTTTTTGGACTTGAGAATTGTTGGATTAAATCTAATGACACAACGAGCTTGAGTCTAAATCAACAAGTCCTTCATCTTCATTTTGCTTTGAACTAACTGGACCTGCAAACTCTGGTTTGGTGCCTGTCGGTCTGTTTGCTGGTAACGTCATGTTGCACCTGTTGCTGTTTATCAGAAGATGTAATGTGACAATAGATGTCCCCTGTTACTTCATGCAAGGGCTGAGCAATAACATTTAAATTGCTAATGTGATAATCATGAGGCTTTTGCTTTATTGTTTGTGCATGCAAATATCACATCATTAAACCAATACGGTAGTCATGGCATTTTACTGCATGCTGGTGTGAAATCCAATGAAAATACAATGTCAAACAAAACTGAAACTGTCCAATAACATTCTTTGGAGAATACAACACAACAAAATTGCAAAACCTTCATCAAATTCTACTCGATGAACAATGATAAACGGGAGTTATTTTGCAGCTCTACCTTTCGCCAGCGACTGCAGAAAAAGCGTAACGCCTGACTCAACCGAACACATCCAAATCTGGCCTTTTATTTGCAGTTCAGGTACAGACACTGCAAAGAATATTAGTTGTATTAGTGTTATAAACCCTTATCAAGTCAAGTCAAAGCTACACAAAGTGTAAAATATCAAAACAGCGGTGCCAGATTGCTTGGCTCTCACAATGTAATGTGATGTAACCGCTGAAACCTGCCTCAGGTGTTTGAGGGTGGTTGAGTGCAAAGATCTCAAGGTGATTATCAAAGACTGAAAACAAATTTAATTTAATTAAACTAACTTGCTTGCTTGCTAGCTTGGACTTGCTAGAAACAGAACTGCAGTCACCAAAACCTATATTTAAGCTTGCACCTACTTCACAACATTTCCTGTTCTGAATATAAAAAGACTATAAAGTGGTAATGCACTTCCTGTCTTTTAAGTCACTCTGGAGAGGTCAGGACAGCACAAAAAAAAAACAATCATGCTGTCAATATGATCCTAGCCATGATTCTGTGTTCTACATGATAAAAAAAACAATAGGCAATAGGCCTCCAAGGGCACAGGGAGAACTTTCATTTCCACTGAGTTGTTATTATCATTTAGAAGTCCTTGCATGGCAGCAAGAGCAAGGCCTGCGAGGTTCTTTGGGTAAGCACTGAGTCAGATATGAGCTTGTTTGAAATCTAAGTAACTGGATGCAGCAGGTTTCCCTTTTAGCCCTCGTCCAAACAAAGAGGCTCCTGTTCTCGGGGATAGAGAGGAGCCAGTCGGTTCCCCCGGCTCAGCACTGCGTTCTCCCGCTCACTCAGCACCAGGCACTGATTACACAGGCCGGACCAGTGAACCAGGCCAAGAAACCCTGTGGGGGTTACGAGAGCCTGGCCTGAATTGACATTTCTTATGATATTATCTGAACCTGCCATCGCTCTAACAGTGTTCAGCCACGCTAGAAGAGCTCGAATTGTGCTAATTGAAGCTCTAACTGATGCAAATTGTTGAATAACTGCTGCTTCGGTCATGTGATTTACCTAACTCAATCCAATTTCTAATGAGATGCTAATCGAGATGAAAGTAACCCTCCAGACACATTTATTAAAAACACCAGCTGGATATAACATTTTCTGTGATTTAACAAACTCACAACTTAAAAGAACTCCTGCTCTACTGTCACATTGTCACCAGACTTACCAGCAGCTGAGATCAAAGCCTGAATTAGCTTATTGCAGTGCAGGCACTGTCAGGCCAGATGTCTGGGTAAGGATTCTAAGGGTCATCGCCACACCAGCGCATTCACAGAAACACACACACACACTTGCATAAAATCCGCTGAGCTGTCAGTAAAAGTGTTTCAGTCACAGATCTGACAGGAAGCACACCAGCAGATGACTGGACAACTGCGGCGATGCAAACTCTGCTGACCCCTCAGACACTCCTGGATTTTAGATCACTCGCAAGCGTTGACGTTTAACAGGTGAAAATAAGCTGGAATGAGGATGTTTGCTTTTCAGCACATTCTTGTTTTCTCAGGAAAAACACTCAACACTACTATTAAGAGCACATAATGTACAACTAACACACAATTAACATGTCCTGTATGAAAGGGGATATTCGAAACTGATGCACGAGTCTAAAATGGCGCTCTTTCTTCTAGACTTTGGATTTGACCACGAGTAAAACTTTTGTGGCATTGCAGCTAATTATTCTAGTTATTCCAGTCAAACATTAAGCATTAGGTTCAGAGGAAAAACAAGTGGACTACCAAGAACTCGAGCCCTTTCTGCAGAACTGGGGCTGCTTGTAATGCACCTCCTTGCAGAGAAAGGGCTCTGACGCTGCTGGGCCTCACAGCTGCAGCTTCGTCCAATGAACTCTCTCCCCTGTGGGGAGGAGGGAGGTGAGTGAACCCAGGGAGACAAAAGAAAACAGAGAATGCACCCTCTTCATCTTACATAAGAATCCTCCACGATATGCACATCTTTCACTCTGGATCCTGCAGTCACCTCAGGCTAGAGCGGAGTGAAATGAACTCAAAAGCAGCTCGAACGTCGCCCTGCAGCGCCCTACGTGTCTTAAGAGGACATAACTGCAGAGAGGGTTGCATTACAGCTTTTAAAACTCCTGTTCAACCTGCTTGCCCCTCCTGACAGCGGGTCAATATTACCACAGCAGAATGCAATGCGAGGTGCTAGGCGCAGAAGCTTCATGCAGGGAGAAGCTGAACTACTGTCAGTGTCCTGCCTCCAATCTCTCAGCCAAGTCTGCGAGAACTGTCCAAGGCAAGCATCTTTTTCATCTGGGTAACCTACCTGTTTCCTCTCTTTTGAATTACTGAAACCATATCTCGAGGAAACAGAGCAGGGAAACAACTTTGTTTTTGCTCACTGTCCACAGTAGCTAGTGTGTGCCAAAATCCACTGAAAGGCACTTTAATAAAAAGAGAATGCCCAACATGTGTTTTAATGGAATTATAAGCTTTAAGCAAAAAGTATGAGTGTCAAATATAAAACACAAGTCAAACTCAAGCTTGAAGCGGATCAATCCATTCATCCTCTCTCCCACTCACACGGTTTCATGTCACAGTTTGTATCTACCCTTAAACAATACTCCCAAAATGTAACGTCACATTAAACCGCAGAAATAAAAAAACACCTTTTCATAAGTCTCCCTAACTCCCTCCTGAGTGCTTTAAAATTGACTCCTTATTCCTCTTTCTCCGCGCGCGCGCAGCCCAGCACTTCTTTACCTCCTTCAGCTCTTTCTCTATCTGCACCGCCCGCTGCACTATGGGACCTCGGACCGCGTACTCGACCCGCTTCACATTGGGGTTCATGTTGTCCAAAGTCAGCACCTTGCCCCGGGACGGGACCCCGTTCACTGTCTGCTGGGACATTTCTTA